GCCCGGCCCTGCACTTGGCGGGGTTGTGCCGGGCACGGCCCAGGCCCGCCATGGGCCTGGGGTTAGAAGGGCCGTGCCGGCCCGGCACGGCCCTTTTGGCATCTCTACACTAAGATGTCATTAAAAAAAATAAAAAAATAATTGGATTATTTTAGTGGACGCAAGTACTTTTGTGCAGTTTGTTCCTTATCCATCTCTCTAGAAAAACCTTATAATAAGAACAAATTTGAATTGCATGGCATAAAATTATATGCCTTTATTAAACTATGCTCTGTGGTAAAAAGGGAACTTTTCTACTTGACAATACTCAAGTTTTCTGAGGTTTTTAGTGGCAGTGATTGAAAATGGTTGTTGCTGGAAATAGCAAATTAAATGAGACTAACGGTTTTTCATAGCAACATTAAGAAAGAGAGAGATAGATGTTGATACCTCACCTATAAGGGTGAAAGACACACTAATCTTAGACGCCAGAAAATTTGTCTTATAACAGAACTAAGGTGGAGTTTTCTGTTTTAACTCCATGACAAGGTCTAAGGTAATTGCGGACACGTGAGAGATTAAGTGGCTAAGTGCCTTGATAAAAGTCTCAAAACACGTTTCATAAAGTTAAAATAGCTTTTAGGATATTCTTTGGTTTGCAAATGTCAAATGAGTGGTTGAATGCAGCCAAAAATATTACTCTATTTTATGGGCTCTAGTGTCACCTTGAAGGCAACAAAAAATGATATCTTTTAGTATCTTTGTTTTCTTCAACGTCATAAATATGAAACCATTTAATAGACATATAATATTTGTTGGGCGACATTTCCGAAAACATTAAACGCGCAATAAATTTAAAAACTCTCCCGAGTCCAAATATGCTTAAGTTTAAGTTCGTCGGAGCCCAAATTCACCTAAGCCTAAGTTTCCCGGAGTCCAAGCTCCGAGCCCAAGCTCTCCCGAGCCCAAGCTCGCCGGAGCCCAAGCTCGCCGGAGCCCAAGCTCGCCTGAGCCCAAGTTCTCCTGAGCCGAAAGTTCAAAGGTCGCGTGATGTCATCAAGTGAAGTAACCGACGCTAATTGAAGACATTGAATGATTGAAAATTAATTCTCATTGATTATTTATCAATTTTAACTCACGAAAAGGTGAAGAGGCTCATTGTAATTAAGAGAAAATAAACTCTCGAATTAATGGGAGAATTAAACTCACTCAATCCTAATGTACTATAAATTTCCTCAATTTGAGAGGAAAAGACACTCATTTCTGAATACAATTGCCTTGTGATTGTCTTTAGTTCGTTTTTGTTACTCTTTCAGAGGTTCTTTGTGTTCTTCGAGTGTTCTTCTAATTTCCTTATATAATTTACTTAGTCAATCTGAGTTATTAGTCTAAAGACGTTGAATAAGTGTTACACAAAATTTTGCTCTAACAATATTCATCAACAAAAAAAAAGAAAAAAAAAAGAGAAAAAAAGGCAAAGCCAACTAGGGAAAAATGATAACTTTGGGAGAAGGAGCAATAAATTGTTTCAAGCTTTATTGGCCGGTTTTTTCTGTTAGTTCTGGTTAAGGTCCTTCACAAACTATGGTGGAGTCCTACTCGCATAAAACATTTGGCGGCTATGCAAGGGATCATAGGCCCTTCTTACAGGTTCATCCATGGCAGCACCAAAGAAATCTCCACCATGAAAAAGGAAGCCATGAGCAGAGCTATATTGGATTTGTCACAACATATTTCCAAAAGTTCAGCCCCATGTTGGCTCGTGGATCAACATATATGTTAAGGGCCAATACATGGTTCTATAGAATAGAACTTTTGGCTTGAGAACTTAGTTTATTTCATAAATGCCTTGTACTCTGCACACTAGTTAAACAATGCCTCTGAACATTTATTTCACTCCTAAACTATACAAAATTGATCAAACGCCTCTCCCATCCAGATCTTTCTATAATACTAATTAAATGATGACATGACCCTAATTCTAATGTCATAAAATGTCACCCAAACTATTTATTTTAAATCAACTTGCTCGGAGTACTTATGAAATAACATACTTCACGGGATGTTTTGAAAGATTTTAATGATACAAGGATTGAAGTTCCAAGGGATGTTGAATTAAGGAAAAGGAATGTATGAAATTAATCCTATGTTCTATTCTTGATTTTAGTACATTTAGTGGCTATCTGAGTTTTAAAGAAAAAAGAAAAAAAAGTAGTTAACGATTGGCTACTTACTAACTTGGCTTTAAGAACATACAAAGACACCATGGTGGATAAAAATCACTAGTAGCATAAATGGTTGACAAAAATCTTAATAGTGATGGTATTCTAATTGTATTATAACATTACTTAACAGGATATGATCCTGCAATGATCTCTAGTGTAGAAATAATGCTGGAAAGATGGAAAAACTATGAAGGCAAAGAGATAGAGGTGTTCGAAGAATTTAGGTTGCTGACTTCAGAAGTGATTTCTAGAACAGCACTTGGAAGCTGTTACCTAAAGGGAAGAAAATCATTGACATGTTACAGAAATCGGTCCTGTTAACATCCAGAAACGCTTATAAAATCGGTTTTCCTGGCATCAGATGTAAAGTTGCAAAACAACCTTCTAGTTCTCAACCACTTTATTAAGTCGTGTTTCCAATTTGCAGCAAGCTCTTTAAAACCAAAGACGAGTTTTAATCAGAGATGCTTGAAAAGGAAATTTGCGACTGTGATGGAGCTTATTAAGAAAAAAGAAGGGAAGGTAATGAATGGAGAAGAAGATAGCTTTGGCAGTGATTTTCTTGGTGTGGTGTAAAGGCTCACCATGACGCCGACGCCAAGAAAAGGATTTCAGTGGATGATTTGGTAGATGAATGCAAAACATTTTATGCTGCCGGCCAAGAAACCACTAATATCTTACTAGGCTGGACTGTACTCCTTCTAGCAGTGCACACACATTGGCAAGAAGAGGCAAGAAAGGAGGTCCTTTAACTTATTTGGCCAGGAGAATCCTAAAGATGGCATTTCGAAACTTAAACAGTAAGCCATAAAGTGAAACTAGAAAAGAAACTTATCCCAAGTCTTCGTTTCATGTAGATGAGCATGGTCATTAATGAGTCTCTTGGATTATACCTTCCGGTCGTTTATGCGAAAAGTAGAACGGGAACTTAGACTCGGAAAATCACTCTTCCTGCCCATCTCAACCTGTATATCTCCAATTTACACTTCATCATGACCCTCAAACATAGGGAGAAAATGCGCATCAATTCAAGCCAAAGAGATTCTCAGAAGGGGTTTCTAAGGCCACTAACAACAATGCAGCTGCGTTTTTTCCCTTCGGAATGGGGACCAGAATCTGTGTGGGCATGACCTTTGGAATCACCTAAGCGAAAATTGCTCTTTCAATGATTCTACAAAGCCATTCCTTCACCATTTCTCCGGCCTATGTGCAGTCGCCGTTTCAGGTTCTCACACTCCACCCTCAGCATGGAATTCAAGTGATGCTACAAGCACTGTGAAGGCTGGAGCTGGTTGAATGATTGCAGTCTGTTCACCGATAAAGCCCTAGGGAAAATAGGGTCTTCACATGAGAAAGTTTATGAATGCTGTACTTAAAATCGACTGTTTATGATAAGTAAGCATGTAAATGGTTACGTTTTTTAGTGAACATGTAACTGATTTAAATAATCAGATGTTTCCATTATAAAGGTACTTTGTTTTTGTTGGTAGGCAATTCTAGACTCCGTTCATTTCGCTCATTCGAGTTTAGAATTCGAGTTTTACTACAGTAAAAAGCTCTCAAAAACAGTCACATCTAATTTTTTTACTACAATAAAAAACTCTAACACAACATCACATCTCAACTCAAATTAACGAACCGAACGGCCCCTAATCAAGAGGGGTTCATTCTCAATATTGGTTAGAGAACTTATGGCTTCTCAGCACAAACGAAACGTTTTCATTCTCTCCCTCACCCCCCCGTCAGGTAAAGAAATGCTGGGAAACTGCTTTAAAAGCATTGGGTTAATAAACAGCCTAAAAGATTGTCCAACTCTGAAGATGCTTTTGTAACTTCTATGGTAAAACTATATAATATAGCTTTAGCGTTGTTTGATTGTTTTTCCACCCTTTGGTCAACAAAATTCAAACCAAGGCAATGGGATTTCAGGACCTCAAAAGCAAGACACTGAGACAACCTCCAAAACAAATATTTTTTCACTAGCTACGGAAGCTTACAAATGCGTCAGAGATCACTGATTGTTCACCTGATCAGGGTACAAAAGAATTTCTTTCATATGTTGTCCTCTCTTTTTTTTTTTTGTCTTCTTTTTTTTTGGATAATTAAATTGCTAGCAGCTAGCGCATAGAATAAGAAAAGTTCCTAGGCAAAACACATACCCAGACCATATATACGAGTACCATTGGGAAAACAACAGAAATCATTTATTAGTAATCAGTAACATGAAGTTGATAAAAACTTCTCCTTCATGCGAGAAATGAGCTTAAATTTTTCCTCGGCTTCAACCTGTTGGCGGATGTCAGTTTTTGACGCCCGGTCTGGATGAAATTTTAGCAGCGCTCGTTTATAAGCTGCATGGACCTGCAAGAGCCAAGAGTCATTACCATTAACATTGACTAAACAATATATGAAAACAGGAAGTTGAATCAGAAAACATTCGTGTGATTATTACCCTTCAGTCACAAAAGAAAAATAAAGATTCAAGACAAATTTGAACCATCATCGATTGTAAATTCAAGACAACTGATTTACTAGTCTAAGTCTAGAGGTAACATATTGAAATTTGCTACAAAAACAAACTTTGGGAAAATTAAGGGCCAACGTTAATGAAAGATGAATCACACAACACAAATCCTCCATTTCATCAATCTGCACTGCATTGAAAGCAAAAGCATAAATAGTAGATTGATGGACTCACATCATGAGACATAGGACAGAAACCACCCGCAACTTGGATTCCCAAACCACGCAGCAATGAAGCCATATCTATGCACGTTATTTCCAATCTGCTAATCTCCTGCCTTATTTCACCACGTAGCTTTTCCTTCAGATTTATATTTTCTTCATCCTGAATATTTCATTATTCATGATATTAGACAACATCACATGATCTATATTAATCACAAAAAAATTAAATAAATAAATAAGCAAATAAAAGTCTTAAAATCTTTTTCTTTCTTTATTATAAAAATAAAAATAAAAATAAGTTTTAGAGCTTGATAAGTGACAGAAGCAACAATATTATACAAGTAAACAAAACACTAAGGTCTCGTTCATATCACCAATTTGAGTTTCCAATTCTAGGTTTCTACAGTTAAAAGCTCTCAAAAATATCACATCTAACTTTTTCTGCTATAGTTAAAAGCTCTCAGAAAATATCACATGTCAGCTCAAATTGAAACCTCGAATCCGCAAAGCGAACGAGGCCTAAAAACATGTCATAATTGATGAAATCATGAATATAAACCTTTTTTTGAGTCTCTCTGACTTCTTCAATACGTTGCTTTTGCCTTCTTTCAATGTCACATAAGCGCATGGTTTCGGCTTTTCTTCTCTTACGCAACCTTTGTGCTTCTTCTGACTGCAAAAGAGCAGTGTGTTTAATTACAAATAAATCATTCGCCCACTCAGGAATACTTTTCCAAATCAATCTATATCAACCCAACGATATTGGTATCCTTGAGGTATAAAGATCAAGGCAAAGAAGTTATATGATGCATATAAGTATGGTAGAACCAACTGGTAGAAAGAATGAAGTCATAGCCTTTAAGTAAAAAAATACATCAGGCATATATCAACATCTCAAGCATAATACACACAACAAATACATCAGGCATATGTCTCAATTGCTTCATAAATTCTACGGATAAAATATGAAGATTAACCATCTTAGAACAAATGTCTAGAAGTACTACACTAGTTAGCTTGACCTTTATGCAGAAAATTTTGATAAAGTTGAGTAAGGTCATGTGGGTGGTGCTAATTGAACTCATCATTGCATATATGGCAAGACAGTTCAGCTCCTACCATGCAAATGTTTTCTTTAATATTTCCCACGTTAGTTAAACATTCAGAGTAACCTAAAAGAACCTTTTCAACTCGGCTAAAAAGTAGCGTTGCTGCCAAAACGAATATTGACAAAATTCAATGCACAATCCACAATTGAAAGAGTATGAGTGGGAGAGAGTCAACCGATAATAAGAAGCAAGAATGGGGATATCAGTATGCGTGTCAAACCTGAATTTGCAATTCTCGCTGCCTGGCTGCCCATTCTTCGTCTATTGCTCTCTTGTATTCATCAGTGTCCTTAAGTTTTTCCCGTTCATTGATTAGGTTGCCTTCGACAGATAGCGTACCATTACCAGCTTGAGGATCTAACAATCCACTTTTGTCATTTGGTTCCTTTGCTTCCAAAATAGAAGAATCAGCGCAGTCAAAATTTGTTTGATTACTTGCAGTCTTGCGTAAAGAGGCCTCATTAGAATCTGCACTCGCTCTATCTTGATAGGAAGCTTTTCCACTGCAGCCTTCCAAGTTGCCCTCAACTGAGGTGCGGCAAAATATAAATTCTTCGGGACCATCTCCGAATTTGTCATCTGGAAGAGAAACACCATTATCAACCGGTACCTCATCAAACAGTCTAGAGTTTGACACAAAAGATTGTCCAGGGTCTATTTTCTCTTTTCCCTTTGAAGTAATTTTGGGATGCATATATTGTTTCCCACCCGCTTCTTGTTCAAACCACATAACGGGAGACCCTTGGGCACAAGGTTCTTTTACATTACAAAAACCAGGAATATCATCACGGACATTTTTGTAAGTTTTACCATTGTAGAAACAATTAGGATCTTCGGCAACAAAACCTCCTCGAGGCTGAAATGATTCTTGGGGACTTGGTTCTGCTTCATTCCCATAACCGGAGATGCCAGCAAAAACATTTTTGTTACTTTGACAATTACAACCACAACGAGGATCTCCTGCAACTGTGCATCCTTCAGGATGAAAATCTGCATTTCCATGAAAGGATTCTGTTTCCTGGACTGACACAGGTTTCCAAGAAGGAAAACTTTCTCGCTCACCTTTATGATAATCCATAAATGAACCATCTGATGCGGGTTTGAAAGAAGTAGTCTCTGCATAGCCACCATCACTTGCAAAGAACTCCGAAACATTTTCTTTCTGATAAGCTGCATTGCTTGAACTAGAACAAACAGGGACTTGCTCTTCTCTACCATTTTCTTCGTCAGCATTTGCATGAACGTCACCATTAGACCCAGAAGCACTAGTCTGATCCTCTGCACCAGAATGATGATTTAGGTCATGTTTTCTCCTAAGTGAAGCTCTTTGCCACTGTTGACGGAGTATAAAAGAATCTTCCACTAGCTCACAATCAGAACAATCACTGTCAGTTGAGCCATTATCAGAGGCAGGATCCAAACCATAACAATTTCTTCCAGGAGCTTTGGTGCAGTAGGTTTGCTTGCACTTTGAGAACTGAAATGCAGAGGCCTTTTCCCAGATAATCCGACATTCATCAATATCTGAGTTCATAGAATTCCGCACAGTTCTAAATGCAGGACATTCACTTTTGCTTGAGCTAGCGTCACTAACCAAGTCCCCATCGCCATCAACACAGATTCCAAGATCCACATCAGTATCCTCGTCATCATCTATTGTTATGACGCCTTCAAACGACAATTTCTTATCTTCTCTCGGCACATTGTAACTTTCAAATTGCTGTTTTGAAGACTCAACGGGGTTGACTGTAATATCACTATCATCATCAAGAACAATGAACTCAACATTCTCAGGTCTCCCTTTGACCTTTCCAGCATTCAGTGTTTTCTTCTTCGAAGAACTTCTCCTGTGAGAATGTTCTCTTAATACTCCTTTCCCCCTCATCTAATTCTACAAACACGAATAAACATAAATAAAAAGAAAAATGAGTCTCTCTTCCATTACAAATGTCTCAACATCCATAGATACAAAACACCTTATCAAATTTTGACCAGTTAAAATCTGTACATATAAAGAAACCGCCAGTCTCGGGAACAATCTGATAGTACACGTCATAATATTAGCAGTATTTTTCAAGCAAAGTATTTCCACTAAGTTACTGTCGACGTGCTTGTATCCTACTTAATCATACAAAAATAGTTAACGAGGAGAATAACACGATCCCAAGGGCCACAATGCAATTGCCTCTAGTTTTATTACCAAAAAACTGATCAAGTGAAAGCATTGCTTACATAGAAACACAGATAAATTGAATATATGTTCCTGTAAACACGCACAAGCGTGCGCACGCAGATATATATTTACGAACTGAGTAGCCACGGGGAACGAAAATGAACTACAACAGTTATACCCGCATTAAAACGGTAACTCTCACAATTTGAATTCATACATTTCTATAATGTCAAACCCTAAGAAACGATCAAATTTAAACTTATAGCCAACAAAAATAGCAATCAATTTATAAACTACAAATGTTAAATACACAGCAATAAAATTCAAAAGAATATGCGTGAAAACCCCCCGTTCTTCAAACCCCAGCTAAAGCACAAGCGAATAACGCTTTTGCTCCAATATAATTTCACGTAGAAACTAAAACCCTAAACCGAATCGGAACAAGCAAAACCAAAATCGGACCGAAAATTTTCTTATAATTGTATCGATTGCCCAAAAAAGCGCAGTCGTGATTGCGAAATTCAATCAATCGAAATAGAAATTAAAGGCTATAAACACATAAATATGTATAAATATATAGTCGATTATGAACAGAAGGGAAGGTTACCATCCAAGAAAACCAAAAGGCAAAGAAACCCTAGCTCTTCGCTGAAGAACCCACCGAGTGATGAAAAGAGGCTTTCAGAGAAAGCTGAAGCTTGAAATAGAAAAAACGGAGAGAGAATTGAGAGGCAACGAAGTTTCAAAGAGGTTTTTTCAAAATTGTAAAAGAAAGCTTTTCGTACCAAAATCAAAATTTAGGCATATTCGTTTGAGAGAGAGAGAGAGAGAGGGCGGAGTGAGAGAGAGAGAGAGAGAGAGAGAGAGAGAGAGATTAAATAGTCAGGCTATGAAATCCGTGGTGGACCTGGTGGTGGTACGACTTGTGAGTTTGTTTTGTAAAATAGTGATATTTGGGAGGGCAAATAGGGAAAATAAAAGGTTGTGTTTGGAATTTTCAGTCGAGTTGTGACTTGTGAGGCTTTTGCAATTTGCAGTGAATTTTCTAGGAAAATCATCTGCGATTTTCCTACCACAAGTAAACAAACTTTTTTGTTTTTTTTTTTTATATGAAGAATTTAAACAAATATTCAGGAAAGTTAAAATTCCATATATTGTTATATCTATTAATATTTTAATTTTATTTGTATTTATTTTCATACCAAGCACACTTAATAACTTACATAATCTTATGTTTATTAATATTTTGATTTTGTTTGTGTTTATTTTTTCTTTTTAAAAATTTTCTTAGCTCGTGTTTGGTTCAGCAATTTAAATTACCAAAAAATTCAATACCATTAGAAGCTTGAGATTGAAAATGATGTTTGATATAGAATTAATGAGAAACATTTAAACCACCAACCCCAATTTAAATTCTTAATTTTGGAATTTATCACCCTCATTTATTTATTTATTGTCTTATAAGGGACTACATCAAGCTCTAATTTTTTCTTAGAGAAAATTACAGAATTTACATTTAAAAGCATATGTATCTAGATTTTTATCATTCATTCTTGATTAATATCCTTTTGCTAGCATAGTTATTTAACTAAAAAGGTTATTGATAAAAAATAAATAGTAAAAATTATGACTTATATATTTTTAAGGGAGAAAGAGGAAAATAAGCCAAGACTTGAGATGAATTAAAATTAATAGGCTAATAGTTTACATAAGTTAATAAATATGTCAAATTACTGTTTTCGTCCATAACTTGTCTGGTTATGAATCATAACTTGACAAGTTATTATCCATAATTCACGATTTTTGTCAATAACTTGTCTGGCTATGAACCATAACTTGACAAGTTTATTCATAACTTATCTGGTTATGAACCATAACTTGACAAGTTATGACCTATTAATTTTTATAACTAAAAATTGGCCTATATACTTTCTTAAGCTTTTCATATTGGCATATTTTCTACTATTTTCCTATTTTTAAAATGTATTTATCTCATTTATCCTTTTTCTTATAAAAATTACGACCCAACTCGTGTGTGCTTTGAGGTCGGGCTATTAAGCTTGGCCCATCAAACCTTGTCGGGAAGTCCAAATTGATAGCATTAACGCTGTAATTAAACCTGGCCTACTCGATAAGCCTGGTTGCCCTGAGCCGACTTTCCCCAAAATTTTCAAGTTTTCTTTTTTAATTTTGTTTTTCATTTTTAAAAAATTACCACGAAATGTTACGGGCCAGGGTGCAGGGTTAAAGATGCTGAAGCTATGAGACGTTTGGTTCATGAATTAGAATCATAAGATTAGAACTATTTTTCGATTTACATGTATTTTTTGTGAGAGAAAATACTGTAGCGAATCATGAACCATGATTCAAATCGGGGTACGAATCCCCCAACCAAACAACCCCTGAATGTCCCCGACCAGGCCACATAACTTTACTTAAAGCTTTAAATTAGAAATTAGTTAGGCCTTTATCTTGAGGAAAAAACCAAGATCATATAGCATTTACTAGGCCAGCTCCCACTACCCTCTTTGATCAACAATCATGCCCATATAATGGAACATATTTAAAATAAAAAAAACCCCTAATTGTCTCATCACTCCTATTCTTCGTATTGTCGTCTCTTGGTCACTCTTCTTATCCCACGCTTAAAGTTTCAGGTCGCCATTTATCTCTGCAACTCATCTCTCATCTATGACTATTTCAATGAGGACCAAGTTGACCACCCGAGCCGACTTGATCAGGCCAAATTGATGTGGATTTTGATGGCTAGCGGGGTGTTGTGGCTCAAAATTTTCCCACCCTGATGAAGTCAGCTTGGCTAAAAAAACAGAGATACTCTGATCTTACCCGGTCGATTTACACTCCTAAATAGCATTATACAAGAGACGAAAGCTTTTTCATCTAAATTTTAACAACCATAAAGGATTTATGTGCATTCTACACCCCTATATAGGATAATTATTTAAAATATAAATATAAATTGTCAAAATTTGAATATAATAAATAAAAACAAAAAATAGTGTCAAAAGTTGAGAAATATAATTATTTTAATAAACAAAATAAAGTACATCTTTATTATATAAAAGTTAATAATAATTAGGCTAATATTATAATATTAGACACAGGCAAATAAAATGTAAACATAGGTAGTAATTATTAATTTTTGAATATTACTTTTAATTTTATATCTATAAGTAAATTAAGGGCAAGATAGTAATTTATTATTAATATCAGGTTTATGAGTGCTAATTTAGAGGGGGCATAGGATTGCCAATTCCAGTCCTCAATCTCAAATTTGAGTGGGGCCCACCAATTTCACTCACATTCTAAGAGCAAGTAACATGAAATTGACTCTAATTCTCTACTATCATTCTCTAATCCTAATAAGTAAACATGTCATAAAAGTAAACTGTTGTCTCTCTAATTCTCTACTATTATTCTCTAATCCTAATAAGTAAACATGCCATAAAAGTAAACTGTTGTCTTTCTTTTATTGATTGTGATCTTGTTTTGCTGATTTAATATCAAAGAGTTGATTTTCTATGTATTCACAAGATTTAATATCATAAAAAGATGTTCTTTTAGGGGATTAAAGATGTATATTTTAGATGAATTAAGATTTGTTGTCTCATTTTATTGTCTCGGTAACTATCTTCTTAATTAAATTTTGACACCTTGTGTGAATTGTTTAAGTATTTTTACTCTTTGATCTTATTTATATGGTCATATTCTTAAATTTATATGACATGACAAATAATTAATGAAAGAACAGCCACCGAGACAGATTAATGGAAACAACAAATCTGGACCGCTTTTAGATACCCATTAACGGTTGAGAATGGAATCACTAATGCATAATTGTTTCATTTAACACCACTAAATAGGCATAATATATAAATGTTCATTTTCAAAGAGAGTCAAATCTTCGTTATGTGTTAATTTTTTTGATAATAAAATGAAGTAACATTATTAGGTAAACTCTTTTTGTCCCGATAGCTCATGACAATGTCTTATCTTGTTAAATATAATATTAGGTACCAAAAAAAAAATAGAGAACTATCTTTTTAATTTTATTTTTTTCTTTTCTTTATTTATAATCCAGTTCTCTTTATATGGAGCTGTTGTCACTTTAACCTAACATACTATTGATATTGAAAGTAAAAGAAAGAAATAAAGGAAGAAAATAAGCTAAGCTATTTCATGGTACATTGCTTTATGGGGGATAAGTTTGCATTCATTGATACATCAAATTCTCTAATCATGTTTTAATTGATTTTTTTAATATAAAGTTATAAGAAGTTCATAATTTCTTATCCGATCGGAATTTATGATACTTTATTTTACTCATAATTTATCCTCAAAAACGCAAACAAGTGGATCCCACATAGTGGGATCTACGTGAACCCCACAAGTAGATTTCTTTTGTGAATGATGAAAATAAATTCTCATCGAAATAAATAAGGATGCTCATATTATTATTGTTTTTCCGTGAGTAACGGCGTCTGACCAATACCATTGACCATGTCACCAAGACCTTTTCATACTCACCCTAGTCTCTTTTTTACTTGAGAACAGAGAAGTAAACTAATAAGGTTGAAAACTTCCTTTAAAAGCTCCAATGAGCCGCAGCCGATTAGGCCCGCATTTGATTTCTTTGGCAGCCACTTGAAAAACACATTACAAACGCACATTACACGATTCTTTTGAACTTGTGACGCAGTACCACAATTGTTACTGTTGTTTGAAAAGCATATTAATATTTAATTTTGTTTGAATTACAAATAAGGTTCTATTTTGAATAGTTATGGTCAATTTTGTTTACTTTTCATTTTGATGACATCTTAATCAAATCTAATATTGAATATACATCCATATCCTCTTTCACAACTAACAAGTTATATGTCCCAAGCTAATAACTAAAGTCTATTTGTCGGAGATGTTTTACGCGGTTCTCGTGTGGACAGTGCTATATACGTCATTAGAGATTGAGGAAAAAAAGAAACGAATAAAAGGGTGGTAACACGGCAGACTACCGCGTATAAGGTGGTAGAATACTTTCACAAACATGGTAGCAGTCGGATAGATTTGGTAACACACGGCACAGCGTTTGATAACATGGCATGTTATGATCGGTAACATGGTAGACTACCATTGGTATGGAAATAGCTGTTGGTTTACCACTGATAACCTGGTATGATAACATTTTTTTTTTTTTTTTTTGAGAAAAGGCCAGGGATATCTTTGTGTTGTGACATTGATTATCAGAAGTTTCTTTACAGTGGCAAAATAGCAATCCACTAGGATGCGTGAGATTTGTCTCAAAAGCCAAAAAAACTAGGTCAACCTCGAAAGTTTATAGAGTTGCATTTTGGCATGCATACTAGTTATTCACTCGTATTATATTTATGTGTAAATTATGCTGAACTTTTTCCATAAAGTAGTCTGTATGAATACTAGCTCTAAAATTTTATTCATGTTCTAGAAAAGGGAAAAAGAGATAAATATCCTTAGAATGCATGGGTAGGATTTTTAATGCTTACACTTGATTTATACCTTTTAGTTAAAGAACTATATTAGTTAAAATGATATTAATCAAGAATAAATGGTGAAAATCTTACAACAAGGCATCTTAAAAATGAGTTCACTAATTTTCTTGAAAATGCAGAACTCAGAGGCCTGAATAGAAACAGAATTGGGTTAAGAGGTGGCTTTCAGCCCCAACAACAACAATGCTGAGCACAATAATAAACTAGCTAATATAACTAATTTTTCTAGTAATTAACTGCTAAATAGAAAGTTGCTAA